CAGAAGCTATGGGACAGTTTACTGGAAAGAAGCATAGTTCTAGTCATATCTTAAAGTGTCCTATCTTTCTTTCAACTACTCCATTTTGTTGTGGAGTCCTAGGAGCAGAAAAATTATGATCTATGCCATGCTCATCACAAAATTCAGCAAACTTAGCATTTTCAAATTCAATTACATGATCAGACCTAATTGATGCAAGTTGATTACCTAGTTGTTTCTGAGTTTTTCTAACAAAAGAAGTAAACATGTCAAATACTTCATCCTTAGATGTTAAAAATAATGTCCAAGTAAACCTAGAGTAATCATCAATAAGCACCATCACATATTTTTTATCACCTCTTCTTAATGTTCTCATTGGACCACAGAGATCTATATGAACCAGTTCTATCGACCTGGTTGTACTTACCACTTTCTTGCATTTAAAAGAGGATCTTACATGCTTCCCCCTTGCACAAGACTCACAAACTTTGTCTTCCTTAAACTTGATGTTAGGCAGCCCTATTACCGGGTCCTTGGAGACTAGTTTGTTGAGTTGACTTAGACTTGCATGTCCAAGTCTTTTGTGCCAATAGAGGGGATCATTGCCAATACACTTAAGCAAGTGAGTTCATTTTCTGAAAGAGTGGGCAGATCTACAATGTATATATTATTTACTCTTTTTTCTGCAAAACAATCTCATTAGTTTGGTAAGATTTATCACAAAATATTTGGTAGAGGTGAATGCTACCAAGTTACCTCTGTCACATAGTTGTGACACACTGATTAGGCTATATTTCAAGTCATCTATCAAGTAGACATTCCCAATGGAATGTGAGTCTGTCTTACCTACCTTTCCAACCCCAATGATCTCACATTTCTTACCATTTCCAAAGGAGACATTACCTCCTTTTAGGTCCTCAAGTGAAAGGAACTGGCTCTTGCTTCAAGTCATATGCTTTGAGAAGACACTATCCATGTACTATATTTGGTTGCTCCCCTTCACTTGGACCTGCAAAAGGAAATTAGGGGTTAGTTTTAGGAACTCAAACTTGTTTGGGTCCCTTTCTATAAGCAAAAGGGTAAATTAAATTCTTTTTAGCCATCCTGGCAGCCTATTTTTCCCTTGAACAAAAGTTTTGTTCTTTTGACTAGCCTTTTCTTTTGCATTACATTCACTTTTGTAGCAACCAATCTTACCACAGTGTATGCAGATTTTGATCTCAGGAAGTGTGATGTACTTGCTTTTGGGATCCCATTTAGGTGCAGGAGTCCTATAGCCAAGTCCTCTCTTATTGCTACTATGGTGTTCTTGTAGCCATGATAGTACATCAGAGGACTTACTCCATTTATAAGTTCATTCTAGTTCATGCTTAACCTTACTTAGATCTTCTTTTAGGACTCTTATTTGCTCATCCTTTTTGTACAACTCATCCTTTATTTTTCCTAGATTTTCTTTTAAGGTGAGATGTATATGATCAGCTTTTTTTTTACTTGTTCCTAATTTCAGTTTTAAATTTTCAAATCCAAGCTCTAACATAGTGGTGTCAAGTTCAAGAACCTGGTTCTACAACTCAACATTTTTACTATCACTTTCACTAGTCCTGAGTTCCAGATTTTTGCACTTAGATTTCAAGATTACACATTCCTTAGATAGCTGTTCCTTTTCATTATTTATGACCTCAGATCATCAATGAAATCTAGCAGTAACTCGGATAGACTTTCTTTAGAAAAAAATTTAATCTTGTCTTTGAGATGAATCACACTTACCTCTGATTCCTCATCAGATTCTCCAATGGACATACTTGTTCATCTCCATCTTCATCTTCTGACTCCTCATCTGAGCTTTCTCCCCAAGCACCAACCATAGCCTTTGTTGATCCTTTGTTCTTCTAGGGATGAACCTGTTCCTTCTTCCTGTTTCTTCGTTCAGCCCTTTCCTTATTCCATTCAATTTCCCACTGAGGATTGTTTTTGATCATGTGGTCAGTCTTGCCACATTTGTAATAGCCTTTGTTGGTCTGTTTTTCAGGGACCCTTGGTTTGTTGTAGGTTGCACCTCTTGAAGAACCCTTTCCTCTCATTATATACTTCTTGAAATCCCTCGTGATCATAGCCATTTCATCCTCCTCTAGATCTTCACCTTCAGCGATTCTGAGAGCCAGGATTCTTTCCTTCTTGGGTGCATCCATCTTCATGGTTTTCCTTCTAAGTTTATAGGCAGTGAGATTTCCAATTAACTCGTCCAACTTGAGTGTGGCAATATTCTTTGATTCCTGAATAGCGGTGATTTTGCTTTCTCAAGTAACTGGCAAAACCCTTGTCAAAATTTTCTCAACCTTGTCTTCTTCAAGGATAATCCTTCCAAGAGACTTAATTTCATTTCTTAGTGTTGTGAACCTTGTATACATATCTTGGATGGTTTCTCCTTCCTTCATGGTGAAATTCTCATATTGAGAATACAACAGTATTCCTCTTAATCTCTTCACATAAGGAGTTCCTTCGTGAGCCACTTGCAAAGTGTCCCAAATTTCTTTAGCAGTAGTACAGCTTTGAATTCTGATGTACTCATCTGGACCAAGTCCACACACAAGCCATTTCTTGGCCTTAGCATTCTTTTCCCACTTTTTCAAGTCCTCAGCATTGCAGTCAGCTCTAGTCTTTGGCACATTCACTCCTTTAGCATTCTTCTTCATGGTAGCCAAGGGACCATCAGTAACAATGTCCCATAGTTCATAATCCTCTCTAATGATATGATCTCTCATCTTGTTTTTTAACCAAGAGTAGTACTGGCCATTGAAGAGTGGAGGCCTAGCAGTGGATTGTCCTTCCTAGTTTTCAGGTGGTGCACTCATCTTGATCTGTTCCTAAGGTGTTAGCCTTCTTCAAGGATAACCTGCTGATACTAATTGATGTTTTACACTTCAATACCACACAAGATGGGGGGGTGATTTGTGTGGTGTCCAATTTTTCTCTTAACCTGATTACAGAAGGACTTGGTTCTTCTATGTGTTCCAACTACTACTGTTGTGGAATAATAAATACAAAAATTAAAGAACACAAAGATTTTACTTGGAAAATACCTGACTCAAAAGGTGAAAAATCACGACCTACTTTCCAGTAGAATTTTCCCAAACTCTCCACTAAAATCACTGAGCCAAAAACTGCATTTACAAAAACTCTTTTGTAAACCTAGGACTAAATATAATCCTGTTGTAGCACACAGCCTCAACTGTTGCGACAACTTCAAGTTAACTCTAACTTGAAAACTCTGAGTACCTAATACAATTGCTTCTAGATAAAGCTGAAAGGTACAATATAAAAATACTTACTACAATTAAACTAGAATAAAAGACAGATACTTGGAACTGGTTCTTCTATCTAGTTCATGTAGCTTCAGGCTTGCACGCTTAAATCACACACAAATTGCTTGCAAAATTGTCTTGCTATTTTACTTTTAATTCACGTTTAACTTCTGATTATGTGTGTTACCTGTAAAAGAGAACAACACTGATATTTATAGAGTTAGTAAATAGAGATTGACTAGAATTTTGATGCTACTCTTCCTTGGTGGAAGAGTTCTAGTTGATCTCAACCTCTAACTCCATCCTTCTCTTAAACCGTGTTCTCATTGAGTAAGGAGTCCTTCTCCTTATCCATTATTCAACCTTTTCGATCATGATCAGGAGATATTACTTCTTTCAAGTTAAGTTTATCTCTTTCACGTGCATCTCACATGCTTAAGTCTATCCATATCTGTGTTCCACTAGGATGGAGCTGGTTCATGTCTGAGTTCCTTTGTCAGTCTTCAAAACTAACATTTACTTGGGCCAACACTTTCTGACAACATTATAAATATTCATAACTATTTTAGTAGCAGATTCTGTAAGAGAAAGAAGAAATAATCATTGAATCTGCTAAAACAAGAAGCAACATCGGGTAACTAATCATCTCTAGATTAGGCAGAAAAAAAAGTGAGATCTGCCATATAGTTCGGACTATTCTGGATTTGATGATTTGTAAGATATAAAAGGTTTATCAATTATTTGATTACTATTATCACCAATTTTAGTGTTGAGATGCCTGTGCCCATGAGAAATTGCGGAGCCACCCTTAATAATAATAGAACCCTGTGCAAAGTTTCCTCCAGTGATATGAGCTACGAAGATCTCAAAATGATCTTCCAGCTCAGAGAGTTGCATACCAATGGAGAACTGAATCGACATTTCCCTTGTTTCGACCGAAGAATCAAAAACATAGGATATTCTAACCAAAAATTAGTCAGAGATCACAATCATTTATTTCTCAGTGTGACAGAGATTTGAGTGAACCCCATTTGACCACTATTAGAAATCCCCTTAGATTCATCATTGCTTTCCTTGATCATTGTTACAGAGAATTGAGTGAGACCCAGTTGACCACAATTTAGAGATTCCTTCAATTCATTCTTGCTTTCAAGTCCCAAGATTGAATGATGTTTGCTTCAGTTGATATATAATCAACGCTTTGCATTAGAGGCCTCTTGCCTTAGACTAATATTGAGATGAAATGCTCGTTAATTTGTAGTGATTAGAGCAGAAAACCAGCATACTCTTATGGGTTTGGACGTTAATCTTTCCAAATATCTATAGAAATCTTTGTAGGTCCATCCAAGAATATGTCATGATCCATCTTGCATGCCTTGTTAGAGTCTGCAGTTTTCCATCTTCACTTCTCTCCCCACCATGTCCCCCAAGGTTATGCTAGAAGGACAATCATATATAATCAACCTTTTCTTGAATTACTAAACTACCATTGTGGGAGAAGACTATCGAAAGACTTGACGCACTCTATTGGTTAGTAAAAGTTTTAGTCTAAAGAGTTATGCGGAGAAGACTGAGTTTATAGTCTAAAACATCATATTGTGATGCTTCTTGTCAATTTTGTTTATAAGTTGAATATCGTACATTTTGGTAAACTCTTGCAAGCTTCTCGAATGTTATATTTCATGGAACTATCTGATGTTTAATAGTGTATCTCACCAGGTCTGGGACAGGATTGCCCCAGGTTTTTCCTCTCAATTTGATTCACCATACACAGTTCCAATTATTGCACCACGCCCGTTCTTGATTTTAAACGGTACAATAATCTATATATCTTAAATAACAAAAAAAGAATTTTGTCACATTTATTACCCATCAATTATATTGTCAAAATACATGTGCTTCTCTCTTCTTACTGTCTAAGATAAATCTACATCTCCAAAACTTATAGGGGAAGATGATCCTCGGAGCCCACTAGGTGGCCTAAAAATTCCAGAATCAAGAGCTCACAAAGCGTATGAAGAGGCTAATTGTCCTCGGGATTTCAAGGTAAAAACTGATCTTCCATATCTTGCTTATCTTCTGTAATTTTTTTCTTACTTTGTTGTCATTAAGTAAAGGAAAGAACGAACATATTATGATATTGCTGCAATTCAGTACTCGAATCTAATCTATAATTAACTTGTTTAATTTTCTTTTTTCAAAAAAAAATTCCATTAAACAAGGGGGTCGGGGAAGGGTAAGGGAAAAGAGAATAATTTGAAACTATTGTGTACTCGTGTTGATATCATCTTAAATTATAAGTTGTTCTAGTTGACCAGTTTCAATTAGTTTGAGCACCTTTTAATTGTGTCACGACCCAGATTTCCCGCCCTCGGAAGTCATGATGGCGCCTACTAAAGTGATCTAGGCAAGCTGACTGCTTGATAAATTTACCTTTTCCCCATTTTAATATTTTAACAATTATGAGCAATAATTTAAAGATAGCGGAATTTATGACAAGTGGAAGAAAAACAATAAAACTACTGAGTATATCCACTACAAGTGTTTAAATAGGACTACCCAGAACTAGAGTCACAGCTTCACAGACAGTCTAAGAATACTACAAACAAGGTCTGAATGAAATACAAAAGTCTGTCTCTGAATAAATAAAAACAGCAAGAGAAAAGATAGGAGGAGAGACCAAGGCCCGCGGACGCCTGTAGGACTACCTCGGGTCTTCTGTGTGGACTGAAGACAGCACCCTCATTGCGGTCTAAATGCTCCGGTATCAGTATCTGCACACAGTGTAGAGTGTAGTATCAGCACAACTGACCTCATGTGCTGGTAAGTGCCTAGCTTAACCTCGGCGAAGTAGTGACGAGGCTAAGACCAGACTACCAAATAAACCTGTGCAATTAAATCATATACAACGGTAATAGAAGTAGATAATTAAAACTAAAGTTGGGCGGGGGAAACATGCTTCGAGGAGTAACAGGTAACAACAGAACGATGGTAGAGAAATATAAGGAATGCCATAAATCAATTACCAACAAAGATAAGGAAATAGAAGAACAGGTACACATGTAATACCGGTGCAGATGTGCAACCCGATCCCATTTCATATGATATCATTGCAGGCGTGCAACCTGCTCCCATTTCATATACTATCATTGTAGGCGTGCAACCCACTCCTATTTCATATATTACTGTTGCAGGTGTGCAACCCGCTCCTATTTCATATATTACCGTTGTAGGAGTGCAACCCACTCCCATTTCATATATTACCGTTGCAGGCGTGCAACCCGCTCCCATTTCATTTGTCAACACCAATCATAAAAAACTCCCGGCAAGGGAACAATAGCAATATAACAACATCCCGGCAAGGGAACAATAATATCAAAACAAATATCCCGGCAAGGGAACAATAATATGACAATAACATCCCGGCAAAGGAATAATAATGATGATAACATCCCAGCAAGGGAACAATAATGATAATCCTCATATGAAGCGCAATAAACCACAACGGAGTCATAACAAGTACAGTACAAGACTCACGGGCATGCTTAACACCGACGTATAGATACTCGTCACCATGCCTATACGTCGTACTCAACAATCAACACGTAGCAAATAAGACATGAATCCTAATCCCTCAAGCTAAGGTTAGACCAAACACTTACCTCGAACTTTCACGGCCAACTCAAGCCTCAAACACCGCTTTTTCTTTTGAATTTGGCTCTAAATCAATTGTATCTTGACATAATCGACTTAATAACATCAATAAATGCTAAACAATCCAATTCCAATGCTTAATTATAGATTTCCTATCATCCTTCCCAAAAAGTCAAAAATCGACCCCGGGCTCGCATGGTCAAAACATGAGGTTCGGACCAAAACCCGATCACCCATTCACCCACGAGCCCGAATATGTAATTAGTTCCAAAATCCAACCCCAAAACGAGGTCTAGATCCCAGTTATACAAAAAGCCCTAACTCTACCCAAATAACTAATTTTCTACCCTTAAGAACATGATTTAGACCTAGATATCTAATGGGTGTTAATGGAAATTGAATAAAATGAGTCTAAGATTACATACCTATGGATTTGTGGTGAAGTTCTCTTTCAAAAATCGCCCAATTTGCAGTTTAGAAGAAGAAGTTATGAAATTTTTGTTAAATCTCGTATGTTCTGTTACTGTTTAAAAATCACTGAGCAGGCCTTCATCGCGTTCGCGATGCGTCAGGCCCAATTAACCATCGCGTTCGTGATACAAGGCTCGCATTCGCGAAGCTTCAGCCCCCGGAGCCTTCGCGTTCGCGTAGAGTAAAATCCTCTCCCCCTGCCCAGGCCCAAAAGCCTTCGCGTTCGCGATAGCAAGCACGCGTTCGCGAAGGGAAACACCCCCAAATCTTCGCGTTCGCGTCCTGTGTCTCGCATTTGCGTAGAAGGAAGTTTCCTTCAGCCTGACTTACACTTCGCGTTTGCGAGAGTCCTTCTGCGAACGCAAAGAACAACACACCAGAAACTGAAAACCTGCAATTTTTTTCCAAGTTTAAAAGTTTCTGAAACCTATCTGAAACTCACCCGAGCCCTCGGGGCTCCAAACCAAACATGCATACTAACTCAAAAACATCATATGAACTTATCTGTGCGATCAAATCGCCAAAATAACCTCTTAAACAATGAATTTAGCATAGAAATCTAAGAAAAATCTCAAAACTTTCAAAGTATCAATTTTCACAACTACGGGTCCGAATCACCTCAAACGACTTCCGTTTCTTACCAAATTTCACATACTCATCTTAAACCACATATAAGACATGTAACGGGCTCCAGAACCAAAATACGGGCCCGCTATCATCAAGTTTTAAACACATTTCATTTCCAAAAACTCATAAATATTCCAGAAAATAATTTTCTTTAAAAATTTATTTCTCGGGCTTGGGACCTCGAAATTCGATTCCGGGCATATGCCCAACTCCCATATTTTTCCACGGACCCTCCGGGACCATCAAATCACGGATCCGGATCCGTTTACCCAAAATGTTGATCAAAGTCAACTTAAATTCATTTTAAGGTCAAAATTCATCATTTTTCACAGATTTTCACATATTGGCTTTCCGGCTATGCGCCCAGACTGCGCATGCAAATTGAGGTGATGTAGAAAGAGATTTTTAAGGCCTTGGAACACAGAATTTATTTTTAAACAAGTGATGACCTTTTGGGTCATCACATTCTCCACCTCTAAAAAACCGTTCGCCCTCGAATGGACAGAAGAAGGAAGTATATGAGTCGGGGAAAAGATGGGGATAACGGCTCCGCATATCGGACTCGGACTCCCAGGTCGATGCCTCAGCAGGATAACCTCTCCACTGAATATGAACAGAAGGAAAACTCTTCGATCTCAACTAACAAACCTGCCGGTCTAGAATAGTTACCGGCTCCTCCTCGTAAGACAAGTCCTTGTCCAACTAGACAGTGCTGAAATCTAACACGTGGGATGGATCACCGTGATACTTCCGAGCATGGACATATGAAACACTGGATGCACGGCTGATAAGCTCGATGGCAACGCAATTCTGTAAGCCACCTCTCCCACTCGATCAAGAATCTCAAACGGGTCAATGAACCTAGGGCTAAGCTTGCCCTTCTTCCCAAATCTCATCACGCCCTTCATAGGCGACACTCGAAGCAATACCCATTCACCGACCATGAATGCCAGATCACGAACCTTACGGTCGGCATAACTCTTTTGCATGGACTGAGCTGTACGGAGCCTATCCTGAATAATCCTGACCTTGTCCCAGGCATCCTGTACTAGATCCGTACCCAACAACCGAGCCTCTCCCGGCTCAAACCATCCAATCGGCGACCGACACCTCCTACCATACAAAGACTCATAAGGAGCCATCTGGATACTCGACTGGTAGCTGTTATTGTAAGAAAACTCCACTAAAGGCAAAAACTGATCCCACAAGCCTCCAAAGTCAATGACACAAGCTCGGAGCATATCCTCCAAAATCTGAATGGTCCGCTCGGACTGCCCATCCGTCTGAGGATAAAATGATGTGCTCAACTCAACCCGTGTCCCCAACTCTCGCTGAACTGCTCCCTAGAAATGTGAGGTAAAATGCGTACCTTGGTCCGAAATGATAGACACAGGCACACCATAAAGACGAACAATCTCTCGGATATAGATCTCAGCTAACCTCTCGGAAGAATAGGAGATTGCCATAGGAATGAAATGTGCTGACTTGGTCAGCTTATGAATGATGACCCATACTGCATCGAACTTCCTTTGAGTCTGTGGGACTCCAACAATGAAGTCCATAGTGACACGCTCCCACTTCCACTCAGGAATCTCAATCTTCTGGAACAGACCACCAGTCATCTGATGCTCGTACTTAACCTGCTGTCAATTCAAACATCGAGCCACATATGCAACGATATCCTTCTTCATTCTCCTCCACCAATAATGCTGTCGAAAATCTTGATACATCTTAGTGGCGCCCGAATGAATAGAGTACCGGGAACTATGGGCCTCCTCTAAAATCAACTCTCGAAGTCCATCCACATTGGTCATACAAACTCGACCCTGCAATCTCAGAACTCCATTATCTCCTAAGGTAACCTGCTTGGAACCTCCATGTTCCACCGTGTCTTTAAGGACACATAAATGGGGATCATCATACTGCCGGTCTCGAATACGCTCCAATAAAGAAGAACGAGTGACTGTGCAAGCTAACATGCGGCTGGGCTCTGAAACATCCAACCTCACGAACTGATTGGCCAAAGCCTGAACATCCAAAGCAAGCGGTCTTTCACCGACCGGAATATAAGCAAGACTACCCATACTGGCTGACTTCCTACTCAAAGCATCGGCCACCACATTGGCCTTTCCCGGATGATATAAGATGGAGATATCATAGTCCTTTAACAGCTCCAACCACCTTCTCTGCCTCAAATTTAGGTCCTTCTGCTTGAACAAATATTGTAGACTCTTGTGATCCGTGAACACCTCACATGCCACGCCATACAGATAATGCCTCCAAATATTTAACGCGTGAACAATGGCTGCTAACTCCAAATCATGGACCAGATAGTTCTTCTCATGAATCTTCAACTGACGCGAAGCATAAGCAATGACCTTGCCATCCCGCATCAACATTGCACCAAGTCCAATAGATGCATCATAATAAACTGTATATGGCCCTAAAATTGTGGGCAAAACCAACACCGGTGTCGTACTCAAAGCTGTCTTGAGCTTCTGAAAGCTTTCCTCACACTCATCCAACCACCTGAACTAGGCACCGTTCTAGGTCAACTTGGTCATCGGGGCTGCAATAGACGAAAACCCCTCCACAAACCGACGATAATAGCCTACCAACCCCAAGAAACTCCAAATCTCTGTAGTTGATGCTGGTCTAGGCCGGTTCTTGACTGCCTCAATCTTCTTCAGATAGACCTGAATACCCTCTGCTGATACAACATGACCCAAGAATGCAACTGAACTTAACCAGAACTCACACTTCGAAAACTTGGCATACAACTGACTATCTCTCAGAGTCTGAAGAACCACTCTAAGATGCTGCTCGTGCTCCTCCCAGCTGCGGGAATAGATCAAAATATCATCAATGAAGACTATCACGAACGAATCCAAGTAAGGCCTGAACACTCGGTTCATCAAATCCATAAAAGCTGCTGGGGCATATATCAATCCAAATGACATCACCAAGAATTCATAATGCCCGTACCGAGTGCGAAAAGCTATCTTAGGGACATCGGATGCCCTAATCCTCAACTAATGGTAGCCAGATCTCAAGTCAATCTTCGAGAATACCTGGGCACCCTGAAGCTGATCAAACAAATTATCAATCCTCGGCAACGGATACTTATTCATGATTGTGACCTTGTTCAAATGTCGGTAATCAATACATATTCTCATCGATCTGTCCTTCTTCTTAACAAACAACTCCGGCACACCCTAAGGCGAAACACTAGGTCTAATGAAACCTTTTTCAAGTAAGTCTTGCAACTGCTCCTTCAACTCTTTCAACTCAGGCGGGGCTATACGATACGGCGAAATAGAAATAGGCTGAGTGCCCCAAGCCAAATCCATGCAGAAGTTAATATCCCTGACGGGTGGCATACCTGGCAGGTTTGAAGAAAATACCTCAGAGAACTCACGAACAATAGGTACAGAATCAATAGAAGGAACCTCAGCACTAGAATCGCGAACATATGCCAAATAGGTCAAATAGCCCTTCTCGACCATAGGCCGAGCCTTCACATAAGAGATGACATTGCGGTAGAATGACCAGGAGTCCCTCTCCACTCTAAACGAGGTAAACCCGACAAGGTTAAGGTCACAATCTTGGCATGACAGTCCAAGATAGCGTGGTAAGGTGATAACCAGTCCATCCCCTGTATGACATCAAAATCAACCATGTCCAGCAGTAATAAGTCTACTCGGGTCTCAAGACCCCCAATCACAACTACACAAGAGCGATAAACACGATCTACTATAATAGAATCACCCACCGGTGTAGACACATAAGTAGGAGCACTCAAGGAATCACTAGTGTGAGCACGTAATTTTTGTTTCGCGCGACAATCGCTCCAAAAGAAATAAAAATAATAACAAATGGTCCTGCTATACAATTTTTGGATTTTTACATGGCACTTTGTTAATTATTTATGATTTTTGCCCATTTTATTTTATTAAAACAAAATACAAAAATGTATGTGTCATGCGTAATTTGAACCGTAATCCGGTCGTTAAATAGAAAATCATAAATAGGCATCTTTGTCCGTGATTTTTGTTTTGTTTGATTTTACCTGTTTTAAATATTTTAATATATGTGTGCAAATAATTGTATTAAGTGTTTATTTAATTTTTAATTT